CAATTCTACTATCACAGATAAGTGTCCTGCATCCTTTGTTTATGCGTAAATGTTCTACTTTGGGAGTTATAACTTTAAAATCATAGGAAATGCAAGTGTGTAATTTACAGGACAGTCGACCCCTCTTATAACGCGGTAGATACGTTCCACTTTATAAGAATTTCACGTTGTAGGAATCCTTAAATACATGAGCCAATCACAGCCCGTGTTGGGTGGTCCCCAACTAGTCGATATAATAATTAATTGGTTGACACGATGTATATATATATATATATAAATGAATGAATGTGTCTGTCTGTATGTCCTTCATGCATTACTACACCGTTTATCCGATTGCCATGAAACTTTGGGAAGTTTAATATACTCCCGCGAAGGTTTCTGGCATAGTACATTTATCCTACGATAGATGGCGTGCGTTTATACTGTGTGTTCGATCGATTTCAAATTATGAAGACCATTTCCCCGTGCAAAAAATATTTCTATACAGTCGACCCCCCTATAATTACGGTCCCTATAATTACGATTCCTATAAAACTACGAAAAAATATACGTATTTTGGAAATGTTGAGTCGGATTAGTGTAGAATCGATTAATTTTATGGAAGAAAACCTTTCAATCAGCCGTAGTCCGTAAACTTGACACGTGTCGGGCTGTGATTGGAACGACTTGTAAGAAATCGGATTCCTAATAAATTGGAACATATCTATATCTTATAGGGGGTCGACTGTATATGCATTTGTGAACTGTTATTTACGATATTTGTAATAAATTTTGTTTAATCGCTTTATTTCAACTTTTTTTTTAACTAATTATGTATTCGCTTGAACTTCGTTAAAACCTTAACTGTACCCCAAACAACAACCGAAGTTGTAGGATGAAATTCGATTTTTTTTACCGATCTAGGTATCCCCCTTTTCCAAATTTTAATATCGACTCAAAATAATTTAAAAAGACAAATTTCAATAAAACAGTTTATTATCCAACTATTAGAAATTATGCAACTCCAAGGAAGAGAGGAAGTAGCAATTAAATAAATAAAATTGTAAAGGATTAAAAAATATATATATAAATGGGGAATATCGCGCTTCTGACAATCGCTGCAACTGTGTGGGCTAAATTTGGAGAATCCGTGCTTCTCGCATGGACAACTGTGTGTGGCCAGCTCATGCGTCGGAAAACCTGACTTATTCGTGTACGCACCAGACGGAAAAACAAAAAATATCGTGTATCAACAAGCATTCCAATAAATAAATAGAATTGAAACGACACTTCGAAATGTTTTCCCGATGAAAATTAATAATAATAATAAGTTTCAATAAAAATGATAAAATGTAAATTGAATTTTATCATAACGAGTTTGCTTGAATTTCGTTTCTTCTGAGATCGTAGCAATGCGCGACGGGTAAGCTAATATTATATAAAAACATTTATTCAGAGATAACACTGGCTAACTCCAATTTAAATTTTACTTGGGATATAAGCAGTCGAACGAAATGTGGAGCGTAGCTACATGCGGCCAGGAGGTGAGACAGCTAGTCCAGAAGTATCTCCGGTCTTCCGATCTTCCTACGCTACTGCTCCGGCCCTTTTACCGCTTTACAGAAAGTGGTCCGCGACTAATATATACACATGAAATAGCTCGCGACTGTTACGGCTTAACAAGAAGTAGATCGCGACCGCAACACTCGGCACATATGCAGTTTATGGACTACGGCTGTTCGAAAGGTTTTCTTCCATAAAATTAATCGATTCTAGACTAATTTGACTCAACATTTACAAAACACGTATAATTTTTTGGGAATAATCCGTATAAACTATGCTATAAACAATAGTATTACTTAATTGTAGGATTACTTACGGAGTGTGCACTGTTCGACGACGCCATTGCTTAAGCTTGTTTTCGTCGCGGAGCAGCGCACCGAACGGCGGGCGCGTTTTCTGATAAGTTATTTTTCTTCGAAAAATTCGCTGAGCTTTGGAGACATCATTAATAGAAATAATTATGGCCGTTGAATAAGAAATGTATAGTATTAGACTTATAGTACCTAATTTATATACTGTACAGACGATAGTAAACTCAACTTACCCGCCTAAATTCTCCGTAGCGTGTAAGTACGGCTGCTCGTCCACTATTGGTCCAGATTCGACCAATCCTGTCGCGACACGAGTGGGAGATGACGTTTTAACGCATTTTACAAGTCCCTTTTAGCGTCTTTATACGAATACGGTCGCAATTTTTTCGCCACGATATACGAATCGCATTATATGGACCCTCGTTATAAAGGGGTCGATCACCTATAACACTTGTTGATAATTCCGTTTTATATGAATTCCATGTTGTACAAGTCACTTAGATTTTACAAATACGTGTGCCGGGCTGTGAACGGCTCACGTATTTGTAAAATCTAAGTGACTCGTACAACATGGAATTCATATANGGGCTACGGAAGTTTGATAGGTTTTCATCCATAAAATTAATCGATTCTAGACCAATTTGACTCGAATATTTCCAAAACACGTATAATTTGTTGGAAATGATCGATATAAAATATGCTATAAAGAAAAAATTGTCGGAATACTTACCGAATGTGCATTGTTCGAAGACGACATTAATTAAGCTTGTTTTCGTCGCGGAGCGGTACATCGAACGGCGGACGCGTACGAAGCGTGTCACGTGACAAATAATATATAAATGTAAAAATAAATAACATAATACAATAATTTAAACAATAATACAACATAAAAATAAAATAGGTGATAATAAGGTGGACAGTAGAGAAAATGTCTTTATGCATTTCCTCGTTTGAAAAAAATTTATGTATTTCCTCGTTTGAAAAAGTGGAAATATATAGGATGAAGGATGTATAAACGCCAGAGATGCGGAGGGTCTACTCTCGGCTTGGAAGTTTGCCATTAAAAAGCTTACAAGTAGCTCATAAACTGTAATATGATCTATAACCACATTAAGCGAAACTTAATAACTTTTATTTTTATGTTGTATTATTGTTTAAATTATTCTATTATGATATTTATTTTTACATTTATATATTATTTACGATTTAATTCTTATTCTAAGTAGTTGATCCGTTATTGGTATTTTTGATATTTTTGAATTTTGAATGTGATATTCCATTTTAAGATGTATTCCATATTCGTATGTTCTAACCTGAAGATGATCTATCGAATAGATCGAAAACGTTCGTTTTTAATAAACCCCCTCAGCAACGAATAAGGTGTTTAGTTACTTGATCAGAACTTAGTAACTTCTTTGTTCATATTCTGCTTTGTCTTCTTTTCGTTAGGATCTGAGTATGAGCTTATTAACTCCTCAATAACTTTTGCTCCAAATCCCATGGTTCTAGCAACGGTTCTGATCCTATTCAATTCTTGCAACTGTCGTACACGTTGGAGCAATAATGGAATTCCCTTCTAATAAAGCTCTAAATGCCGAAAGCTTATACGTGTGTGGATCATTGGAGGAGGAAAGAATGTATAATGGGTCGTGGATGGGCTTGATATATACCTTTGTGCTTAAGGAACCGTTTTCGAATAAAATGCCATTGTCCAAAAAATGTACTTCTGTTGTACTAAGTTGCTCAAAAAGTTGCTGCACTAAGAATTAATTCAAAATACCTGACGATCAGGTCGAAGACGTTTGTAAAACAATAAATATTGGTTCTCGAAAACATAAGGTGTGTGTGTCGTAGTATTACCATTAATATATAGTTTCTTATGCACATAGAAACATGGCCTCAATGAGAAGAATCATCTGTAGTTATTAGAAGCAAAATTTAAATATCAAAAGTAAATTGCTGAGTTTAGTGCTGCTACAAGTATATATAATTTTATGCAAATTAGTGCGCCATCATAGTTCCTTAAAGGATAGAGCTACTTGCGAAAAAATGGCTCCTTTTGATCTCTATATATGAAAGAGAGAAATTTAAATGGCTCTTCAAGAGGCTCCAGCAATCAATGCATGCAATAACTTCTACAGGCTCTTCAGACTACTCAAGTTACACCAATTTTCGGGTCAAACGGGTCCATTGACTTTCCTGATGGAGAGCCAGGAGAAACAGTGGAACCCTGCGAGCCAAAAATTGAGGGAGCCGAGGAATCTTGGCTTCCCAGTTTTCCTTTGCGCTCCTTCATTTCTGACTTCCTGATTTCCAACTCCTAGTCTTAAGTTTTATTACATCTCCGCAGGATCTCAGTCATCCGTGTTTCTGATTTCCTAATTCTACCGATTTTCCAGTTCATTAAACTCTCCCAAATTCCTGGCTTTTCTGCTATAGATATGGTTCTTTATAATTAAATCTTCTAAGGAGACTGTAATAATTAATTAAATTAAATTAAATTAATTCATGCAATAAATAGGAAATACACGTTAGTTCAAAATTCAAGGGACGAAATAATCGCGACTTCGAATTATCCGAAAATACGAGATTTACATATTTCTGTACAACATGTCAATTTTTCGGGGGGATCGGCCCCCGTCCCTTACTACTGGCCGCCCCATTGTGAGCCTGATCGAATCCATAATGGGTTTACTAAGAGAGGCTCTCTTAGTGCCCACGGGGCAGAAAGAGTGAAAAAAACACAAGAAATTTTTAAATTGCTAAAAACAATTAGTTCATCATAATAGATTTTTTAATGCGACTTAAAAAAATAAAAAATACTTAAATCGTATAAAATATGAAATTTACGATGTTTATGGTGTAAGGATTAATTAAAAAAAATAGAGTTAACAAAGCCACGTGACTAATACGTCAAATGTTTGATTCACGCTTCGACCAATAGCAAATTCTCAACCATTCAAGATTTAACGACTCGAACTTAAAAAACGCCTCGTCGGATTCGTCTCGAGAAATCGGCAAGTTCACTTTTATCCAATAAATGATTAAACGTAATATTTTTCTAGTGTAACATATAAAAAAAATTAAATATTTATTACTATATATTTACTTTCCAGCGTTTTGATAGTAATAAAAAAATCATTTAAAGGTAATAAGACAATATAAATATATTAAACACTCACGTGACTTAATTAACCAATAGCGGCCTAGGAATCTTGCAGACGATTTGAATTTCGTTCAACGACTTTTTGAAACTTTAACTTTGTTTTATTCATTATTAATTGTCAAGTTTTTACTTGATTGTTTGTAGTTCTGTCATCTTAGGACGTCAGTACTTCATAACAAGATGTCACGCCACAACATTTATTATTCTGATAAATATTATGATGATCAATATGAATACAGGTAAGAATCTGTCATTCTTTGCTTATGGAATAGTTTTAAATACAACTTTAAGCTGTATTTAAAACTATTTTTAGGACTTTAAAACATCAAAAACATTGAAAATACATATGTTTTATAATCTATCACATGTTTACTCACTTTAAAAATACTCAATTGCTTATATTTTTTGGATTTAAAATGCCAGTTAAATATAATTAATTCGGCACTTATGCAGTTTAGGGCTACGGAAGTTTGATAGGTTTTCATCCATAAAATTAATCGATTCTAGACCAATTTGACTCGAATATTTCCAAAACACGTATAATTTGTTGGAAATGATCGATATAAAATATGCTATAAAGAAAAAATTGTCGGAATACTTACCGAATGTGCATTGTTCGAAGACGACATTAATTAAGCTTGTTTTCGTCGCGGAGCGGTACATCGAACGGCGGACGCGTACGAAGCGTGTCACGCGACTTTGTCGATGCTATTCGGTCACGTGACTACGTGTTTCCTGATAACTTGCTCTGCTGAATTTTGGAGACATCTTTCCATTTTAAATATGGATTAAAATCAACATATAATAACTTATGATAATGCGATATATAACTAATAATTTTTCTCTGCTTTTAAATGGCCTAATCTCTTTCATGTCCTAAACAAAATTGAATTATATTTATTTACATCAAGACATTAGACATCTCTTGTTGCATCTGACTAATATTTATTATCATTATATATATGGTACCGTATATATATATATATATTATGATAGAACTATTGTTGTTAGTGAGGGATTTTACCTTTGTTGCTTCATATAGTCAATAATAATAGTAATTCATTTCTAATTACAATAAAAATACTATATTATGATCTAACATATGGTGTCTCCAAGTTCAGCAAATTCTTTGAAAAAAGAATAGAGAGGTTGCGGCTGAAGTTGAAAGGTTAAACTTGTATGGCAAGCAGAAGTACACGTTTGAATTTCAAGTAAAACACATTGTGCCATATGTTCACATCACACACTGACTCGTGGGATATTGTTGATAAATGACGGAAACATTTAACAATGATAAATGTTACTAGCGAAGGTAAATAAACAAATTAAACTATTTTAAAGTATTTATAGGATGTTTAATAACACTAAATAATTATTTTTTAGCGTTGTGTCTCTTACCGTACGATAGGACGATAGAAGTACCTCATACTTTTGATGAGGGAAGTAGTGGCTTATGTAAATCTGAAAGCAGCTCGGGAAATTATTTTTAGAAAATTTACGAATTTATTATGTTGTTGATGGTAGAAGATGCTGTGAAAGAACAAACCTAGTCCTACAAAATTATGATAAGCTATTATGAACACAAATATATGTAAATTCTATAGGCACTTCACATCACTTGCAAAAGAATTGAATAATTAAATAATTTCTGGATTAAAATTATCTGTTTCTTTTCAATATTATTCATAAATGCTTAAATAATCATTATTATAATAAAATACATTGTAATTCTAACCCCCAGACACAAAAAAATGAATTAGTTTAAGCCAAACTATTACTTGCCATGCTAGATGTAGCAAATGCCATTATCAACCTTCTAGAATTGCCAGATGGCGGTGCTTGACATCTGTTCATGTTTTGGGCTAAAAATATCGATCGCAACCTCTCTATTAAGTTATCGGAAAACACGTCTGAGATGAATAGTCACATGACTGAATAGCACCGACAAATGTCACATGACACGCTTTGTCCGTGTTCGCTGTCTAGTGTGCCACTCCGCAATGAAAACAAGTTTAAGCAATGGCGTCTTTGAATGGGGTACACTCGGTAAGTATTCTGACAATTTTTTGTTTAAAGCAGGCCTGGCCAACCCAAATTGTTTCTCAGGCCACATTGATCACGCATAACATTAAGGTGGGCCACAATTTAGGCAAACATGCTTTTAAACAAGAAAAACATACAAAATGTATAAGATTTTATTATTATACCAAGAGTTTGCACTTGCACATTATAACAATGACACATGCAAATTTTCATTTATTTAATTGTTTTGGTATACACATAACGGGAAACAAAAGTTTTAATAGATGTATAATATCGCTTAGCGGGCCACACAATTTAACATGACGGGCTATGGGTTGGCCATGCCTGGTTTAAAACATATTTTATATTGATCATTTCCAACAAATTATACATGTTTTGGAAATGTTTGAGTCAAATTAGTTTAAAATTGATTAATTTTATGAAAGAAAACCGCTCAAACTTCTGTATCCTATAAACTGCATAATAAGTGCCAAAAGTCACTTGTCAAATGGAGATGAACTTGTCCTAATTGTTTTTGGGTACCATAATGATCGAAAGTAATCATGCTGACCTGAACAATGAGTGGAGGTTATTTTCAACCGGGACACTGAATATTTTCTTAAATTTTGCTAGGATATTACCAACGGCTCTATGTGAAGCCTCTGGAAAGTCTGGGCGACAGCGATGAAATTCCTCTGCAGCTTTCTGTGTTGTTTCGTGATTATCTCCACACAATATAATAAATTTCATTTGTTGTTTGATGGTTGGCATGATTACTTCCGGACATTATTGCACCTGAAACAATAAGAATGGTGGAGTGAGTTTTCAGCCACACTAGTTAATTTAAAATACATTTTAACTGTAATCATTAATATAGCATTAATTAGGCTATAGCATTAAATATAGATTTGATATATATAAGATTGATTCAGCCAATTTCAAGAAATTTGTTTTGCATTTGAATATGTATGAAATCAGTTCTGTATTTATTTATTTATTTATTTATTTATTTATTCTTTATGCATATTTATATGTATAAAAAGTATTTTGAAATTAGCTTCAATAATCGGTAATTATTTCTTTTAAAAGAAATTTATTTACATAAAGCATCTGTTAGTTTAGATATTAAAATATATCTAAGCTGTTTATGTAACATTATAACACATGAAATAATTATTTTCATATATATGTGTTTATACACATAAACATGCATTTTTCACGTATATTTTTGAATAGTGACATCTAAAGTGATGTTCTCATAATGTCAGTAGAGACAAAAAGAAAAATGAAATAATGAAAATATTCTTCAGCTTTTGTAAACATAAAACTTTTAAATAAATACATCTGTTCAAGTAACAGTCAATATTATGACTATATAAATAAGATATCATATTTATTTTGTATGTATAGTATTTGGAGTTACTAAGTTAAACAGAATTTTCTTTAAAAATTGACTTGATTGGGTTTCTTATAGAAACTGAGTCATCAATTACATGTAGACTTGCAAAACAATCTATTTATAAAATTCCAGTTCAATATATTCAATATATCTGCTCTTAGAAATTATGTATGACTGTGTACTTATGTATATGTGGATATTTATAAGAAATAAGATGAAATCTTCTATGATTAAACATTTTTCACTTTTAATTGCAGTAGCAACTTAATTTAATGCTTTTCAAGGAACCAGTAAAAAAAATACATTAAATTGCAGAATATGTAAAATCCAAATATTCTTTAAATTTCTGGATGCATAGACATTTTATGTTGACAAAATAAAATGTCCAGACATTTTATGTTTGTCAACATAAAATGTCTGTGCATCCAGAATGGATAAAGCAAAGAAAAAACTCATATTACTAGTATAAACGCTTCCATGAAAGCATTTATTTCATACATTACTGTATAACGTACAATTATTGGGATCTCTAACCATGTCTTATACAAAGGTAATAAACTATGAAGCTGTGTTTTGAAAATTATCTAGAATATTTGTTTGTTTCATATTGAAGATTTGTTTTCATCACTGCAGTTCCTAAGTTTGAAGTTAAGCAGCTGTTAAGGTCCCAACAGCATCCTTCACATCTGCAAACTTACCATGTATTCAACCATTCTAATTACATTCATTTTCATGTGATGAAAATTTATAAAGAGAATAGTGCATACCAACTGTGCAGTAACCAACTGTGCATATACCTATATCCAGCTAAATAAATAACTTTGCCATCATTAGACACACAAGTTCATACAGAATGATTACTTGCAGATAGGGTTTGTGATGGCTCAACATTTATCTTAAGGATACAAATGTTTTGTAACAATTTATTAATTAATTAAAATTTCACCTACTTTACCACTTGAAAATTATAAGTGTCAAGATGTCTGCAATTAAGCATTTCTTGATAATCATAAACTTCACTTTTAATAAGGTATTCAAATATAGTTGGGTATTCCAAAGGTCATTCTCTCATCATTATTCCATGATTTTATAGTACTAACTGGTGAAAATAAATTAGAAAATAAAAGTTTGTAGAAGAAACTATGCAAAAATTTTGCATTAGATTTAATTTTATGATATTTTCTGAATATTTTTGACTACTTTATGAATTAAATGGTGATATAAACATTTCCTGATAGATAATAAAAATTGCTTATTAAAATTACATAAGCCAATTTTGCCAATTATTTTCTAGAAACAAAAAATAATAAAAAAGCTAGAAAATAGAAAGTTTACTTAATTTTATTTTAAATTTTTATGAGTTTTAAAAGATATTTTCTCTGATGCATGTAGCACATTTTTTTCTTTGTTAGAAAAATTTAAACTTGTGTAAAAATGATTAAAAATACTCTCTTTATAATTTAATATATAAAAACCCTTACAGTTATTAAATAAGTGGGTGTTATAAACGAATTTCTAGTAGTCATGTCAAGATCAATTACATTCTCAATTCTATAATTCTTCAGTTCTGTAGTTCTTGCGGTATCTTAACGGTGGTGCGACAGTGGTGCCACAGTATGGGAAAATACATGAGCCTTCTCTGCAAATTTGTGTCTAGACAATGAGCTGAATAGACTTTTGAACCCAAGCTTTTTATAGCAACATGTTGACTATGTATTATGCATACACCCTGCAATGATTCTCACTAGGCCTAATGCCATCATCTGTCAAAAATCAAATAACAGTTTGCTGTTCAATTTTCAAGCAGTTTTGATATGTCCTTTGTAAACCACATATGGAATTTTTTTAAAATTGCAATATATTTGTCATTTACCTGTGAAATTATTTATTAATCTGTGTTAAATATCTTTTATATTTAGGCATGTGATGTTACCAAAAGATCTTGCAAAGATGGTACAAAAATCTCATCTCATGTCAGAAACTGAGTGGCGTAGTCTTGGTGTTCAACAGAGTCAAGGTTGGGTGCATTATATGATTCATGAACCAGAACCTCACATTCTGTTGTTCAGAAGACCTCTACAAGGCCCTCCTCCAAGTCAAGAAGAACAATTTCAAGATGACTAGGTTGTATGAAACTGTTGTAAAGATGAACATTTAACAAATACCTGTATTATATTGTAAAAATAATGTATATTGAAATAAGCACAATTATATTACATTATCATATATATATTTTCCACAAAACATGAAGTAATTTGTTAGTGTATATTATTTCCATTCAAACATATTTTGTTTAAAAATGAACTTGTAGAACAAGAGTTTCATAAATGATTTTTTTATAACAAACTCAAGATGGTTATCTGTAATATGTATTTATTGTTAAAATAAAAAAAAATTTAAAAACATGTAGCTACTTTTAATTACTTAAACATCAATATACAGGATGTATGTACAGTACAACAGACAGAGTTGGCTCTGTGTCTATTGTACTTAAACATCATTTTAATACCATATAATACCTCTATTGCATATTAAACAGTGCATGAATAGTTTCAAGTATACTCTCATTAACAAAAAAGTTATGCATCCAGATAGAATTGTTAGGTGTATGCCAAATTTTGCAGTAATCAGTCTCATATAGGTATATAAACAATACAGTCGTGGTTCAATGCATGCCATCAGAGTGCCTTAAAATTGCTGCTCCAGTATCATATAAAAAAGTTTGCAGAGGCTTACTAAGTACAGAATTTTCAGTGTACCAGTTACTTGGAGGTCTTTGAACAGTAGATATGCCTGTACATTGCATATTACACAGTTGATAGTTTGAGAAAGGCTGCAGCATTGAGCTGAGAGAACCAGGATGCCATTTTGCTGGATTGTCTGCTGTTGGCTGTTCTGCCCTGACTGTGAGAAGGTATTAGGGACAGTAGTTATATGAAGGCACACACAGCAGGCATGCTCTAGATGCTTCATACTACTAGGAAAGATGATTGTCTGATCATAAGTAGACAGTGGATTTTAGGCAAATGCCTATTTTTTTTCTTTGACATATAACAGCTAAGATTTCATATGAACATTTAGACTGAAACAATGGTATTTTATAATGCCTAAAAATGCTTATTTTGACGTTGCTGCCTATTTTTGCCTAAAACAAAGTTTAGTCTGTTTTCATATTTTTAAAAAGTTTTTATTAATTTTTCGTTTCATTTTCTGCAAAGGTTTACTTTAATTCTTAAACTGCTTAAGTGCAAAGGTTTACTTTAATTCTTAAACTAAACTACTTAAGTTTTATTTTTTTTCTGAAAATGCAGTCAAACAAATTCATTTTTTTTATTATTATTGATTACTTATATTTAAGTCCCAGCGGATGCATATCCCAAGCAGAAAAAATTAGAAAGCATTAATACAGAAATAAATTACATCCCTGATGCAATTTTACAGTAATAAAATTAAAACTATGTGAAATATTTTAAAATAAATGCTTTTATTTAATAAATATAGCATTAGAGATGCTTTGTCATTTTTAGATGGCGGATTTTAGGCAAATGCCTATTTTTCCCTTAGCATATACATGGCTAAGATTTTGTACTAACTACTACAGTGAACATTTCTTTGATATCAAAAAGCTTCTGGACACTTTAGCAGATAATGCAGTTTGTGTAACTAAAGTCAAAAAACTTTTGAATGACATTTATATTCAGAACAAGTTGGTGTACATCAAGTGTTATTTCACATTCATTATAGATACTATTACTGCTCTTGAAAGTAGTGGGAAACCTATATATGAACAAATCTCCTCAACAGAGCAAACCAGAAACTTTGTGATGCACCAGGCACTACGGCAAAAAAAGTGAAGAAAGAGTTGAAAGCAGTGTTTCAAAAGAGACTTGGATTAAGGTGCTTGTTTATTGTGGCTGATATTTTGGCAGGAAAGAAGAGCAAAACTGAAAGTGAATTCCCAGTTCATCTTCTTTCAAGGTTGAAATACTGTTTGTCATCTTAACTGTTTGTACTGTTTGTTTTGTTGTGCTCTTTCTCTGCATATAAATTAATTTTCAGTGACAAACATTACAAACATTCTATTGAAAATTTGGAAAAAGTGCTTTTAATATATTATGAAGCTAACTATGGGAAACAGAGTGAATAAAAAATGTAAAGATAATTGTTTCTCTACTTTTGTGTTTGCGTCATTCTGAATACGTGCATTTTTGTTTGGAATACATATGTTAAATAAAAAATTCATCATCCTGATAAGTATGTTAATTGTTCATTGTGCAAATTTTGAC